ATCATCAGGCTGTCTGGGTTAGACAGACATAGTAATTGTTGAGAAGCTACTTATATCATCAAGTTGATTAAGAACTGTTATGGTGTGAGCTAGATTAAGTTGGTGAATTGTAATTATTATTAGTTATTTAAATAATTTACAAATCAGAATTAGGGCAAGAATTAATAACACAGTATTATTTATTTACTTTTTAACACCACATGTAATGTAAACACTGACAATTTTAATCAAATGAATTAAAATGAATGTCATAATAGTGCTAAATAGACATATCATACACTTAAACTTATTTACTTTAAACACATGAGACAGTTGTGTCCTTTGTAAATATTTTATAATAACAGCAACACACTCAGATTATTTTAGTCACTTTTTACTCAAAACACTCCTGATTGTTTTCATTGTTTTTTCAATCTGGGCCAGTCACACTCAAAAATTTAACCAGTTAGAAAAAAAAAATCCTCTTATTTTGAGTTTGAATACAGAAATTTTTTTAAACTGTTCTTATACATATCAATAATAAAAAGTAATGATTATATATGCTACTCTACACTTAACTTTATTATTATGTAGATACAATTAAGTTATTTTACAGGATGCAAAGATCTAAACCAAACTAACTAAGAGCAAGTTGAATTCATTGTGTATCTGTTACTCCTAATGAAAAAATAAGGGACATGGTAATCCATACTTAAATATGATATTAATAAAATCCATTACACATGTGAGACTTTATCCAAGGTTGAGATATGGTAAAATACTTGTGTAATTGAGGGCTGCAACTACAAGCTCATAAAAAAACAAAAACAAAAATATCAAGTCATTCTATTCTAACCCACATTATGACAACCTAACAGCATAACTAGCTATCGTGTTCTACTATACTTAATCTTTCAATGGGACTGTATGAATACTAACATTGTAAGAAATTAAGATGTTCCACAATACAAAAAACACATTATTCCTTTTCGTGACACACTATATTAACAAAATTAGCAGCATCGAGGAAACTTCTGTCATGTATAGATTATACAAAAGGTGTAATAATGAAGAATCTGTGCAGACTTCATCATTTAAAATCATGAGGTCCTTAAGCTAAGACAGTATGCTCTTCTTCAGGCCTTCTCTTGAACTTCTTCTACATTTTTTGCATCTTCCTCTTTCTTATCTTTTTTCTCATCTGTTCCTGAAATATTCTACATTTTTTTTTACATGAACTAAATCACGTATGCCACATCACTGAAGATTCAATTTACAATTAAACTTATTTCTTTATTACTTTTCCCTCTTGATTACACATGTATAACGGATGCTACATGAGCTCAACATATTCATACAAGATTACGTAAAATGTGATCCGAGTTATCATGCAAATATGTTTAAAACATCCAAATGAACAATAAATTAGGCTCATTAATATGTGCAGTTTCTATTTTTAATGCCAAACAAAGAAATATAATGTTCATTATATAACTCTTAATATGTTACATATTTGTACAGAAACCAGAAGAAGTTTTACAACATGTAAAAATGTTCTTAGTAAAATAAAAATTCAAATACCCTGTAGGTTTTATAAATACATTTTTTCATACTTTTTATTCACCAAATTGCTTGATATTCTATGAGTTTATTGGTTTCAGGGTATTTAATACTGTATGATTCACAAAAAAAAATTTAAACAAACAGGTATCACCAATATTTCAATTAATCCCACTAAATGCTGCTAGGGGTCTCCCTATGTATTGTACATAAAAAGGAAAAAGTAATTTCACTCTTTTGTTTTTAATCGGTTCATTTCACTGAGTGATTTAAAACCAAAAACAATGTGTGAATTCCACCTACAGTTAAGGATACTAAAACAAGTTGGTAATGAGATATTAGACAAAGGTTAGATATTCTTTAAGACTCCCACTATACAGAATATGTACACATTTAACTACCATTTACTGAAATCCACTTTTGAATGCAAAATCAGAATCATCTATAGCCCGATGGCAGATCCAAAAGTTAATTTTAATAAACAGTTGAACATGCTGATATGCTGTTTATTTTTAGAGTAACCCTACGACATACTTTTATTACAATTCATATGAATTATAAATATAAACTGATTGTATTTTTTCAAATAATTCTATAAAAATCAATTAAATTTTTTTTTTAGAAATCATTCTTTATCAGTCAGACATTTAAGGACCAATCACAACTAAGACTGTTTCAAAATTTTCATGCAAAGCTATATAAAAAGGCTATCTGCATAAATCCTATTTTGATTTTAAAAAGATAAACCATGGGTAGGCAGCTATTCAACGACACCAACTATCAACTCTTGGGCTAATCGTCTGACCAAATAGTGGGATACGACCATCACTTTTATAATGCACCTAAAGAATCAAAGTGTGGAGCAAGATTTTATGTGGCAACAGGCCATGAACCACAAACTCTCAGATTCAAAGCCCAAGCACACTAACCACCAATTTCGAAACACATATTCAATCCACCTACAAATTCATTGATAATTTATTACATTTCCCACCTATAAAAGCTATCAAATTATTTAAAATTACAAGGATTTGTATAAATATTATTTTCATTATACATGTTCATTTTGTGAGCTGTAACAAAGCAATATATTTCAACGGGTTTCTTAAGTATTATTTATTCATATATATCAAATATCTTCATCTTTTATAAAGGATATAGCTTCTCATAATAACAGTACATATCCAGCATTTAACCTACAGTAATATTTAAGCATTTTAATATGTATTTCAAGGTTCTCAACTCTACATGACATTCATCTAATGAATCTCTTACCAACAACACTTAGTTTACAGAATGTTCCATAACATCAGTCTACAATCTGGCATATCTCATATATTAGAATTTTATGTTTCTGAAACCTAGTGGTGATTATATTTAATACTTGTTGCTTTATTCTAATACAGATTAATTCTGACTTTTATGATTTGGAAATACATACATACTACAAATGTTAATTCTAATTAATAACAAATAATTACAACAAAATGTTGTGATGTTTCTTATTTCTATCTGTTTTGTTAGAGGGGTATTTAGACTTCATATATTCTTTAAATATATAAAAATAATATGCAGAACTTGTTTGTGTGCTTCTTGCAGCAATTTATAGAAAGCGATAAGAGTAATATAAGATATTAGTTTAATAAAACTTCAGAAAATAAATTGTTCTAAATTGTAAAAAATATACACTGAAAACAGAACTTGTTTTCCATGATACATGTAAGAAACGTAAAATGCAATAATAACAAATAAAAAGAAATTAAGTTTGAAGCACCTCACCTTCTCCCTCATTAACCTCTGTGTTGTTGTCACGACGACGTTTTCGATTAAATTGTCCCCTACTGTATTTGGGAGGGGGTAGGAGATCCATGCCTAGCACTTTGTGGATCTGACGAAATGATATTAAGCGCAAGGCATGCTGGAAAGGAAAAAAGGCATATGATAATTAGTAAGTAATTTGTTTACACACACACAGAAAAGAGAGAAAGAAAAATGTGAAAATTCTTCAGTTAGATATTCATACTATCCTAAGTAATACAAGAAAAGTGAAAAATTAATAATAAAATTGGGGGTTGGGGTTGGGGGGTGGATAAACACTCCAGAATCCAGAGGTACAAGAAATTGAAAGAGCCAGAAAATTTCATAA